TTTCACTAAGTTAACAGTAATTTATTTTTTAAAGATTTTTTATTGATTTTTTTTTTGAGAGAGAGAGAGAAGCATCAATGTGACATCAAGACATTAATCAGTTGCCTCCTGCATGCTCCCTATCAGGGATCAAGCCCACAACCCAGGCATGTGCCCTGACAGGGAATCAAACCAGCAAACCCTCTATTCACGGGACAACACCCAACCAACTGAGCCAGACCGGCCAGGGCAGCAGTAATTTATTTTTAATGTGGTTTATGCTCCCGTTTTTTCTTCAATCTAAGAACCATTAGCATTCATGTATTAAGTTTTGAATTGTTGCTTTACACAAAGTTAAAATAATGCATATTTTTGTTTAACTATTATGCTTATGCTTTTATGTACATTTCCTCCTCTGTGCCTAAATATTCACTGTACATCATAGGTACTTATTGAATATATAAGAACTAAAGGATTTTGGGCACTCTAATCAGCATCTCCAGTTTTATGGTACCACTAGTGGCCCTGTGCATGAAATTTGTGCACATTAAAAGGGAATTAATTAGACGAAATATTTTAATATTGCTATTTGCCCTTTCTTTATAATAGAAGTGTCAGAGATGAGAGAAAATTAGTAAAATGTATATAAAAATATCCCTCTTGTCAGAGTCTGGGGCACACCGTAGGACCAAGAGTCAAGTCCCAGCCCATCCGCACACACCTCGAAATCGCGTGAGACCCAGACCTGGCCAGCCCCACCCCTGTCAAGTCGAATGGCAGGGGGCACAGCCTCAGGTCCCCCGGTCCAGTGTTGAGTGGGGGGGCACAGCCTCAGGTCTCCCATCAAACCCCATTGGGCGGGGGGGTGCAGCCTCAGGTCCCTTGTCAAGCCCACAACCCAGGCATGTGCCCTGACAGGGAAGCAAACCCGCAAACCCTCTATACATGGGACAATACCCAACCAACTGAGTGAGACCAGCCAGGACAGCAGTAATTTATTTTTAATGTGTTCTATGCTCCTATTCCTGTGCAGGGGATTGTGGCCTCAGGTCCCCTGGTGCGGCCTCAGGTCCCCCAGCCCAGTGCCGGGGCAGGGGGCATGGCCTCAGGTCCCTCGATGCCAGGGCAGGGGGCACAGCCTCAGGTCCCCTGGCCCCTGCACAAAGGCATGAGGGTGTGAGGGCGTGATGACCATTTGCATATTAGCTCTTTATTATATAGGATTTACCCTCTCTGAATTTTTTTTATCTTTAAATTCTTTATTAGTTAAGGTATTACAAATGTGTTGGCAATTCCTTTTTAGTGATGCAAAATTTCCACTGGTCAGGTATGGAACCACTCGCACTTGTTATAATTGTGTTTAAAATAAAGTAGGTTATAGTAAAAAAAAAAAGTGTATCATAAGGCATCATGCTGATTAATATTGGAGTCCCAAGATGTATAGTCATTTTCCATTGCTGTTGTATGGGCACTTAGGCTGTTTCCAAATCTTAGCTATTGTAAATTGTGCTGCTATGAACATGGGGGTGCATATATCCTTTCTGATTGGTGTTTCTGGTTTCTTGGGATATATTCTCAGAAGTGGGATTACTACATCTAATCAGCGTTCCATTTTTAGTTTTTTGAGGAAGCTCCATACTGTTCTCCACAGTGGCTGCACCAGTCTGCATTCCCCCGAGCAGTGCATGAGGGTTCCTTTTTCTCCACATCCTCTCCAGCACTTGTTGTTTATTGATTTGTTGATGATAGCCATTCTGACAGGTGTGAGGTGAATTTCCGTTTATTTCCCCATCCCCAATCTATTTCATTTGCTGTTGTTTCATTAGCTGATTAAGAAAAGCAATTTTTAAAAACTGTCACAGACTCCTTAATTCAGCATATGAACACTTTAATGTCTCTACCATCCTAAAACAACACTATAAGAAAATAGTTCCAGGTTAAAATGGAGACCAGATATTGATAAGCTAGGGGAAAGTGCATTGCTCCTTGGGTCTCCAAACCTCAAAGTGTGGGAAAGAAGAGGAGCCCCAAAGCTCTGAGTGCCCTTAATAAGAGCCACCTTCTCCTCCAACACTCATAACCTACCATCAAACTCTGCCGAAGACTACTGGGGCTCATGCCCTCCTGCCCTCTTTGTGTTATGGGTGAATTGTCTCCAACATTCATATGGTAAAGTCCCAACCCTGGTACCTCAGAATGTGACCATATTTGAAGATAAGGTCTTTAATGAGGTGATTAAATTAAAATGATGCTATAAGGTGGGGCTCTATTTCAGAAGAATATAAGATGAGGAAGAGACACCAGATGTGGAACCCTGTGAAAAGGCAGCAAGATGGTGGCCATCTGCATACCAAGGAGAGAGAACTTAGGAGAAACCAACCCTGCCAGTATCTTGATCTTGTCTTCTAGCCTCCAGAACTGTGAGAAAATAAGTTCCTATTGTTTAAGCCATCTAGTCTGTGGTACTTTGTCATGGCAGCCCAAGCAGACTGATGTAGCCTCCATCTCTGTTTGTGTCTAAAGCCCAGCACCCCTCTTCACTCAAACACTCCAACCCATATGACTCCATACAACTCCTAATCCAGTATTTTCAAAGTGCACATTGGAACCCTAGGTTATGATGTCAATTTAATGAATTTCAACCAACATATGAAAAATTTAATAGAATAAAATAGGATATAATAAACAGGATGGCACAGAAGAGAATAGAATAAAATAGAAAATAGAAGAATGCACTACATGTGGTGAAGGTATTATTCCTCTTATGCAATCTTTATTTCCATTATATATGTATATTTGTGTATACTGGGTCATGCTATAAACTGTATTTTATACTGTGGGTTATGGTAAAAGTAAATGTGGAAGCAAATGACCTACTTTGGCCCCATATTCTGTCTCTTTCCAACTCCCAAAGTACTTTAATTCTAGTCCATCATCAGCAAAATCCCCCATGTATTAAACCTCCTCCCAATGTTCTGTTGATCTTGCTCAAACCAATTATTTAAAAACACAAGTCGCATTAACATAATATAACTATGTCATATTATAACATAATAAAACCTCATCTTGACTCACATTGGATTTATATAGAATAACTCTGTATTCATTTTCAAATGAGAGACCAAAATTTAAAACTAAATGTGAAAGGCTAAAAATGTCTTAGAAAAATTATGTCTAAAATTAAAGTACAAATTTCACAATCATAATTTTTCATTGAATTTCTTGTTTCCTAAGATGTCAGTAATTGTAAGATGGACCATTAATTTCACAATGGCTTCTAAGGCAAGAAAGAAACCCTATATAGTTGTGCTATCCAATATGGTAGTCACTAGCCACATGTGCTACTTAAATTTAAATTAATTAAAATTAAAACTGCAGTTTGTCTTACTAGCTACATGTCAACTGCTTGGTAACTACATGTTTCATGTTATAGAATATTTCAATCATCACACAAAGTTGTACTGGACATTACTGCTTTAGAGTTTTAATGAATGAGGGATGATAAAGAAGGTTTGAGGGCAGCTGTGGCTTGTGAAAGCAACAGAGAGAAAGTTGCTTAGGAGGAAATTGATTTTTAACAAGTAGTGTGTGTGGATTATACGTGGCTCTTCAAGAGAAGGAAGTAAAAATTGGAATCGCATAAAAATAGAACCCTACAACAATAGACATATCAATATAAAATAGCAATTACAATAATTTTTATTAAGAACTTGCTGTTGTCAAGGATCATGCTAAGTGCTTTGTAGATTATCTATGATTACAACTCTAGAAAGTAAGAATCAACCATTTTTTTACAGATGGGAAAACTGAGGGTCAAGGAGTAAGTAACTTGTTCAAGAGTGGACCAAGAAAGGGGTAGAACAAGGATTTGAAGCCAGTTTCCAAACCTCATTCTCCCTCTGTTACACCAGTCATTCCCAACTAGAGATAGGGGTGAGAAGCAGTGGTCAAGAGGAGCTTTAAGCATCACTTAGACTTAATGGAAAACCAGGAGTACTTCCTGCTCCCAGGAAACCCTTTCAAAAGTCCTCTTTTACCTCCGTCCATTCAGAGTCTACAATTCTCAGAGTGCAATAGGGCTGAGGCCAGAGTGGGATCATATAAAGGCTGTCCCAGACACATAGAATTAGAATCTCTAAGTGGGAATGTAAAGCCAAGGGATGTTAATTTACCAAAAACTTTCCAGGCGATTCTCATTTGCATGCTCTAGTGGAGGAAATTGTACCACACCATAAAAAGATTGGCAGCAAACTTGAAAGTCAATTAAATATTTAGTTAAATGAAAATAATTGTTGTAAACATGGCTACTAAATTGAGTGCAAAATCCAAAGCCAAAGAACATTTATATAATAAATATAGCATAATAGTTGTCTGAGTTTTATAACCCCAGATTACATTAGTGAAGACAGGAATTTGTGGGCAGTAAAAGCAAAACAACACAAACAAAAATAAAACCCACTTAATTATTAAATGGATGACTTAAACAATTACTCTTTTGCCCTTTATTTTGACAACTATAGGTTCAGGGCTACATTTACCAGTAATAAAGTTAAACATAATCACGACTAGAACTAAAAACCACCTTATAATTTACTACTGGAGAAAGGGAAAACAAAAAACAGTGCAAATGGCAAGGGCAAGAAAATAGCAAATAAGCCTAAAAGAGTATAAAAAAGATACCAGAGCCTGACCAGTGTGGCTCAGTGGTTGAGTATTGATCTATGAACCAGGAGGTCATGATTTTTTTTAAACAAAAAACATGGTATTTCATTTGCAATGCATGAGAAATGGTTAACATCTTTAGTTATAAACCAGCTCTTAAAATCCAGTGACACAATAAGAATGCAGGAAGCTGGAAAAATGAAATGAAAAAATACAAGTGATGATTAAGCAGTGAGCATATATGATTTTGCTGAGCAGTGATGGAGACACATTTTATAATTTTGTCTTTTGCTTATTAATTTGAAGGAGTTCTTTATATATTGTGGATACAAATCATTTGTTGGACATATGTCTTGTGAATATGTTCTCCCACTCTATGGCTTGCCTGATTCCTGTCTTAAAGATGATGTCTTTTGATGAACCAGAAATTCTTATTTTTCAAGAAGTAAGATTTATCAGTTTTTTGTGTGTGTGTGGTTAGTTAGTACCTTTTGTGTCCAACTGAAGTAACTTTTATCTACTCCTGTGTCATGAAGATATTTTTGTATGTGTATGTGGTAAAATATATGTAAGTGTACAGTTCAGTCGCATTAAGTACATTCACATACCACCATCTGTCAAACTGAAATCCTGCCCCAGCCAGTGTCGCTCAGTGGTTAGGGATCAATCCATGAACCAAGAGGTCACCAGTTCAATTCCCAATCAGGGCATATGCCTGGGTTGTGGGTTAGATCCCCAGTGTGGGGTGGAGCATGCAGGAGGCAGCCAATCAATGATTCTCTCTAATCATTGATGTTTCTACCTCTTTCTCCCTCTCCCTTCCTCTCTGAAATCAATAAAAATATATACTAGTATTTTTTAAAAGTTACCAGAAATAGGAGCAAATGTATCAGTGCTTATGATAATTGTAAATGTTTTACTAGTACACTGTAATAAAAAGCAGAGATGTTCACTTTGGGCTAAAAACAAACAAAATATTATGTGCTGCTTATAAAAGACAACATAAAACAAAATTACACTGAAAGGTTAAAATTAAAAGGGTGAATAAAGACATAACCAAAGATGAGCAAAAGAAAGTATCAGTGGCAATATTCTAAGCAGAGGATTCAAGACAAAAACACTATTCAAAAAGAATATTAATTAAATACTGGGAAGAAGGAGAACTTTACAAGTTTAAAACAATGAAAAACTCCTCAAAGATCTTTTCATAAGGAAAAGGTTTATGGACTTAACTATATAAAAATTTAAAATGTTTGAATACCTAAAAGCAACACAATTCATCGAAAATGAAAACAACAGAGAAATATTTTTAACAAATGTAACAGGTTAATATCTTTAACATATACAGATTTTGATCCCTAAGAAAAATATTAATACAAAGATAATTCTAAAAAAAGAAAATGGAATCAATCTAGATAAAAGAAATTAGGCTAGCAATAAGATAACTTCTCTCACATTCACCATTTTAAAATTCCCATCAAGAGCACTGGTGGGGGAAAAAAAGGGCATTGCTGGAAACACCAATTGATACCTTATTATCTGGAGATGATCCTGGCACTAGCTCTCCAGAGCTTTGAAAATGTTCATTCCTTTTGAGACAGTAACTCCACTTCTGGGAATCAAGCCTACAGTCAAAATCAGAATGTCCATACCAAGATTTATGAACAAAGATATTAAGGAAAATATTCTTTATGATAAAGAGAATTTTGAGAGAGCCAGAACATTAAATGTGAGTGGCAAATTTTAGAAAAGTATGTTATATGGATACTTTTGGTATAAGACTGAATATTTGTGATCATCAAAATTATATTTGAGAAGTTGTTATTAAAGAAATGATTTATGGTGTAATGTTAAGTAAAAAAAGAAAAGGTATGCCATATTCTATAAAGTGGCTACTAAGTTGCATAATGGTATTGTCCAAAAAAATTAATATTTGTTGCCTTTGAGTAATGGGATTATTAGGTGTTGGGTTTTTTTCTGCTTCAGAATACTTGTATGTACTTTCTCAGCTTTCTACATTGAGCACAGGTTATTTTTAAAATCAGAAAAAATATGAATAGTCTCTTTAATAAATGGTGCTGGGAAAATTGGACATTCATATGTAAAGAAATGACATTGTACCCTTATCTTATACCACTCACAAAAATTAACTTGAAATGGATCAGACTTAAATGTAAGACCTCAAACCATAAAACTAGGAGAAAACACAGGGGGAAACTCCTTGACATTAGTCTTGGCAATGATTTTTTTGGATATGGCACCAAAAGCACAAGCAACAAAATAAAAAATAAACAAGTGGGGCTACATCAAACTAAAAAGCTCTGCACAACAAAAGAATCAATAAAATGAAAAGTCAATCTATGGAATGAGAGAAAATATTTGCAAACCATATATCAGATAAAAGGTTAATACCCAAAATATATAAGGAACTTAAACAACTCAATAGCATAAAAACCAAATAACCTGATTTCAAAATGGGCAGAGGACCTAAGTGGACATTTTTCCAAAGAAGACATACAAATGGCTCTCAGGTACATGAAAAGGTGTTCCATATCCCTAACCATCAGAGAAATGCAAATCAAAACCACAAATCAAAACCTTACACCTGGTAGACTGGCTATTATAAAAAAGTCAAGAAATAACAGTGCTTGGCTAGTGCTTGGAGAAATGGGAACCTTAATGCACTATTGGTAGGAATGTAAATTGGTATGGCCACTTCAAAAACAATATGGGGATTCCTCAAAAAATTAATAGAACTGCCGTACCACCAGCAATCCCACTTCTGGGTATCTATCCAAAGGATATGATATATGTATCTCAAAGAGATATCTGCACCCTCATGTTAATTGTAGCAGTGTTCACAAAAGCAAGATATGGAAACAACCTAAGGGTCTATCAACAGATGAATGGATAAAGAAAGTGTTATATATATATGCCTAAGCAACCTAACGAACAACCACTGGTCGCTATGATGCACACTGACCACCAGGGGACAGACACTCAATGCAGGAACTGCCCCCCTGGTGGTCAGTGCGCTCCCACAGTGAGAATGCCACTCAGCTGACTGACCCATCTAGGCAGCCCACCAGCCTGGCAGCAGACATTCACTCCCTCAGGTCCAATCTCCAGAGAATAGGACATGCACCAACAGACCAGCACCTCCCGCATGATACTGACAGTGCCACCAGCCTCCTAGAAGTCGGCCTCAGCATCATGACCGCTTCCCCTCTCTAGATGCTCCATAAGGAAGAAATGATATAAAAGTAGCCGCCAAGTGGCTCCCGGACAACGGGTGTGAACATCAGCAGGACGCACTGTCAGAGGAGTCTTCTTTTTTAGAGCGCATCTTTCTTTTTCTTCCACGTTTACTTTTCTTCGTTTCTCCTCCATTTTCTCCTTCTACACCATCTGGACCAGCACAATTATCAGCATGCCTCGCCATGGTATTCTAACACAAGAAACAAACCCTCTTTCACATCACTGACCAAGTAAAGATGAGACTGGAAGTTCTCTTTATTTTTGAAACGTGAATGAATGAATGAATGAATGAAGAAATTGTGGAACATACATACCTATATATATTATTCAGCCATAAAAAGAAGAAATACTGCCAAATGTAACAACATGGATGGACCTTGAGGCCATTGCACTAAATGAAATGTCAGGCAGAGAAAAACAAATACCATGATCTCACTTATATGTGGAATCTTTAAAAAAGCTGAATTCATAGAAACAGAGAGTAGAATAGTAGTTGCCAGGGTCTGGGTAGTGGGAGAAACAGGGAGATATTGGTCACAGCATATAAACTTACAATTATAAGATGAATTAATTCTGTGGACCTAATGTACAGAATGATGACCACAGTTAATAATACTCTATTATATACTTGAAAGCTGCTAAGAGTAAATCTTTAATGTTCTCACCATACGTACACACAAAAATATAATCATGTGAGGTGAAGGATGTGTTCATTAACCTTATTGTGGTAATCATTTCACAGAATGATTGTGAAATGTGTGTGTGTATGAAATCATAATGTATACAAACTTACACAATGTTAAATGTCAATTACATCTCATAAAGTTGAGGGGAGAGAAAACCCCTAAAAGTGCAATAAATGTAGCTTTAGATTATAAAATAATAACAAAAGAAAAAAATATCTGAGTAGAAACAAATCCCTTTAACTCTGTGTAATCTTTAGTTATAGTCTTCTTTTTATTAAGCAGGATTCTTGGCTGTAGAAACTGCCCCTGGCAATCTTTAGCAAAAGTTAATTTGTTACAAAGATTTGACACAAAAAAACTGTCTTGGAAAAGCCTGGTTAGCAATGGGGTGCTGTGATAAATAATCTCTAACCAGTCTTCATATTTTTATATCACTCAGGCTTCAAAGACCTGGGAGGGGGTGTCCCATGGCCTAGTCTGGGTCACCTGCCTGCATGGAAATGAGGGAGATAGCCCATTAACTTCCTCTGGGGAAGGTACCACCTCTCTCCAAGACAAGACAGAGTGGGAGAAAAGTGAGTCCCCAAAACTATCAGAGTGCTGTTAGAAAGGGGGGTTAAATCCTATTCAACTGAATGTGAAGTCACTACTATATATCTCTTCTGTTGGTAATTTTGCTTCTTAAGTGTCTTCTCCATATTCCCTATTAATTTATTTCCCTGAAATGTGGTCCATCTCCCTTCTCTATTTCAACTTTCTCACTCAAGCCACCATCTGAACTGATTGGTAGATCCAATGTATGTTTCCCAGGTCTTATCTCTCTAGATATCTTAGTTTGGGTTCCACTAAAAGCTGAATCTGAGACAAGAATTTGAGTATAAGCAGTTTATTTGGGAGGTGACCTCAGGAAAGGATATGGCAGCCTGCCATATCCAAGGTCAGAGCAGACTCTGGAAGCAAGAGAAAGTCCAGAATAAAAAAAATACAGGTACTGGTGGTTGAAAATCTGGCCACATATCACTGATAATTGGTGAGGAAATATGAGTTTGACGAATAGAATTTGTTTTAATAGACATTTCTGTGTTGCTCATGACTCTTCAATAAAATTTTCCTTCCCTTGGATACTGGAACATACCACCCACTTTTTTGGAGGGGGGGGGCTTCCTCTCTGACCACTTCTTCACTTTCTTCATCATAAGGTCCTTATCTTTTCCTCTATACTTAGATATTGGTAATCAGCCATTTGTTGTTTTCTCATCCCACAAAATCTCCCCATCAACTTCAACACATCTTTGCCACAAAAGCCCATCTATGTAATGACTGATCCAGATTGATATTTCCAGCTCTGCTCTCTTTTGTGGAGTCTAGACCCACAGCTTAATGAATACCTCCACTTGGGTCTACCATGAGCACCTTAACCCTAAGGAGTCCAAAACTTACCTCTCCAAATCTTACTCTCCTCTGAACACCCTCTTTCAAAATGGCAGTGCCATCCATCCGGATTCCCAAGCCAAAGACCTGGGATCATCATTCCTTAGCTCTTTCTACTCCTCACTTCTGATGCTTACTTAATTGGTCACAAAGTCTTGACAATTCTAACTTCTAAAGTTCTCTTTTTTGCCCACTCTACTTTTAAGGCAGACTACCTTTATGCACCATGGTCAATATGGTTAATTACAGCAAGGTATAGAAGGGACTCCTAGCTTTCTCCCCATCTTCTGTTTGCTCCTTTGGGACTCATTCCAGTTCCTAAGCCTTTGTTGACTTAATTCCTGCTCCTTTGGCTTGGAAAGACCTCAGCTTCTCTGATTCATCTCAAAGTGTTTGCTGCAGCTTTAAAGTTGGACTTATCCACAGAATCTTTGCACTCTTGTTAGGATTCTGAATCAGTCAGGATCCAGTTTGGTTGTGAATTACTGAAATAAAAAATAACTGGGGCTTACATAGGCTAGAAGCGTATTCATTTCTTATGTTAAACTCTCCAAAGGAAATTGGTCTAAGGCTTGTGTGGTTCGCCATAGTGTCTCAATTTCTGACTTTGAGGAAACCCAAATTAAGACAAAGAGATAAAAATTTACTTAAGGCTTTTTATTCAAAATAAGAATTCTCATTAACATAGTTATTTAACAACTTGATTAAATTTCAAGTGAACAGAAATCTGTGGATAGCAGAAGCCCTAGGAAGATTTTCAATGAGTTACTTTTCCATGTGGAACCATCATATACATATACTGTTATGCTACAGCTTAGGCAGTGTTCTCAACCTTCCTAATGCCGCGGCCCTTTAATACAGTTCCTCATGTTGTGGTGACCCCCAATTTCATTGTTACAAATTGAATATAATTAAAGCATAGTGATTAATCACAAAAACAATATGTAATTATATCTGTGTTTTCTGATGGTCTTAGGCAACCCCTGTGAAAGGGTCAGTTGACCCCCAAAGGGGTCGCGACCCACAGGTTGAGAACCGCTGGCTTAGGGGAGGCTTGGTTCTGAGGGTAATCAGAGAATGTGACTTTTTCCTTCTGGAGTTCCCCGGTATATTCCTGCCCACAATTTCTCCCACCACCATCATCACCAGGTTCTAACTTCTAGGCATCTTTCTTAACCTCTTTTCCTTAGATCTACTTATTCTGGAGTCCAGCAACTAGCTTATTGGCTTGCTCAGGGTCTTATTCCACCTGCCTCTGCAAGGTCCAAAACTCATCCATTATCCAAGGGAGATGTCACTAAGCTGTCGGGGCTATAAGAGCTGATAGCTTAAACACTTGAGATTTCAAGAGATGACAATAGTTTACTGAGTTCACCCCATTCAGGGAATATTTGCATCTTAATGAGAACAATTTTCACCGCCTGGCTCTCAAAAATGGTGGTGATTATCTGAATAGCACCCTGGGGTACATAGATGAGACTATTCATGGCCATAGGCTATCAGTGCAGGAATTGTAGCCAATCCTAGAGCCCCACCCTCTGCCTTAGGCCCCACTGACAGCTCCAAGGGCTAAAGGGGGGCTTTATCTCAGCCACACCTGAAATCCATTCCAGCACTGGAAGGGAAACAACCTAACATCATTGATAGAGGAATGGAGCCAGACTATTGCTCAGGAGGGAAGGAAGGAAAGGAAGGAGGGTAAGAGGGAGGGAGGGAAGAGAAGGGAAAGAAAAGATTTTTTCTTATATAACCATAATGTTACTATCACAGTTAAAGCAAAATTAACAATTCATAAATATCATCTGTCACTCAGTCCATATTTAAATTTCAAAACAATTTGGAAAACAGAGGAGTACTTTTTAAATGGTGGAACTGTTTTACATCAGAGCAGACAGATTTGTAGGAATAAATTAGGGGAGCAGAGACCCTCTCAGAACATCCAGTTGACCCAAACTAAGATGGTGGAGTCTTAAGCTGAAAGAGCAAATTATCTCTTTATACTTCTTCAGTCCAATGAAAAGTAAAAGAGCTTTTCCCAGTTTTGCCCTGTGCTTCTGTTCACAGGATTTTGTAAAGTACTGGAAGGTTACTTCTACCCACTTCAAAGGGTACATATCAGTCACCCTCTGAAACAATGTGAATAAAAGACTCATTGTACATTCTAAAGGGGAACATTACAGTGTCCACTTGTCGTTCTTTATATCAAAGGCTCAGGAAAGACATGAGGATTTCTACATTTGTACATGAGCCAAGAATTGTCCATTAACTTTCTAAATGATCCAGTCACAGTCTACTGAATTTGGAAGAACTGCCAAGGATGAAACAGCTTTTCCTGCTCAACTGGAACTAAGGGAAAGTGGTTTGGGACAGAGAGTGACAAGTCAGAGAAAGATAAAAATCACATCTCCTACCAGCTTGCCTAAAAGAGAGCTTGCTTTAATTTTATCTGATTGATCTTCTTGCTTGAAAATGAGTGTTTTTTAGTTACAGCTAACAGTTTTTAGTTTTTATTATGTCCCAGTCTCTATTCTCAGGACTTGATATGTTTTAGCTCATTTCATCCGCATAACCCTATGGAGTAACTATAAATAGTATTCTCATTTTTATAAATGAGGAAACAGATGTGCAGAGAATTATGCAAACTTGCCCAAGATTGCATAGCCAGTAATAACTGGAAGATGTGTGATGGAGGAAGAAATTTTCCTCTACCCTTCTAGGTTCTTTTGGCTGGTCTAATAATTAAATCTACATGAGACAGATTAATAAGAGAAAATAACTAAATTTAATTACATGTGTATATATGGGAACCTCACATATAGGAAAGACTCAGGGACCCCCACATATATGAGAGGTTAGAGACAGAAAGGTAAAATGATGTATATATGACATCCTGGGCCAGGGAATAAGGTGAGGCAACTGGGGCTTCAAAGGAGAGAAGGGTCATTTGCAGGACTATAAGAAGAACAGATATTCAGTAATTAGAAGTTTTTTCTTGCCCTAAAAATTGGTCACGAAAGTTATTTCTGGGGATAACCCTTATTGTGGGCAAGGTCCCCAATTTAAATTTTTTAAGGGAGAGGTAAAAGTTCCTCTTGAACCTGCACAGTCTTGATTGCCTTTAGCTCAAAATAACCTACATGCCAAAGTGGCCCATCTTGGGGGAGGCCTGTTCTGAACCCCTTCAGGGACAAAGCTTGTACTCAGGGCATCTGGCTGCAGCCTGCACTCATAGCCACTAGATTATATCACCTTGAGGTGAAATGCTTCGATTTTTATGTACTTAGTCTCATCTGATATCATTGCTTTCATTACCTAGCTCTGTCTCCGCACTTTCACACTGCCTTCATTAATGATGCTTCCTCTCCTTTTTTTCCCAAATGAAGCTATGAGCTACCTGAAAGCAATGACTATTATGTCTTAAATGGCAGACATTCATTAAATGTATGCAACAGAACAAGGACTCAGGTTAGGAGAGTGAGGCTCTCACCCATAAATGTAAAATTTAAGACGGAAAAAAAAAAACCCTCAGCAATGAAGATGAATAATATTTTAATGCATTTTTTAAAAAAAATCAGGATCCATATTGGAGCCTGAGGCAAAAGGAAAAATACACAAGTGTGATCCTATCTTTAAAATGTTAATATCTTGGTCATTATGGATTGTTTGCATTAATTTTGATTTTTTAAAAATATTGCACTAAAATATTATTTTCCTTAATTATTGAGGTTTTTTGGGGCCCCCCCCCCCCCCCCCCCACCTTGCATTTTGCTCTTGACATGGGAGCCTCACTTGTCTCATCCTAGGTGAGGCCTGGGTATAGTTGAATAAATGGTTGAGTTCACATGCCATTTTACATTTTACAGATGAAAAAATAAGACCAAGGTGCAGAGAAGTGGAAAGCTTTATTCAAGGTCACCTTTATTCAAGGTCACCTTTATTCAAGGTGTTGATTATTTTGGAATTGAAACATAAACTTTGGAACTTCTGGTATCTCAAACTTAATATCTTAAAAATGGCTATCTTATGATCTGGCTTCAAACAATGAATGACAGAAATAAATGAAATTCACAGGTAGGACAAAAATGTGAGCCAATGGTTTTAGAGGCTGCTCTAACATATGATAATATTTAAAAATGAGACTTGATTGCCATAATTTATAATCATTGATTTATCCAGCAAATATTATTCAGTACCTACCATGGAATCATGGAATATTTTTCCTTCTATATTTTTTATTAGTATGCCTGCTGGGCCATAAGATGAGCCCCAAAACACAAGTAATTACTAATTTTATTAGATTAGCCTCTGGATAAAACAACATTAAATGAAATAACCATGTGTATGTGCATGAAATGACCAGAGCATAGTTGCTACTCAATAAATAATGGAAAAGACAAATATAGCAACACATATTAAATCAGCAAAACTTAAAGTTGTGAGAAACATTGTTTCTAGGAAATCCTTTGTGTTTGCCTGACCCATCTGAAGTTGGTTATCTCAGTTATTTCAAGCAGGTTGTTAATAAGGTCACAGTCATTGACCAACACTTAAAAAGCCCCTCAAAGAGCATATCCTGCTAACAATGACTCATTCATTAAACACTTACTGAGCACCTTCCATGTACCATATTGTGTATTAAATGCTGGAGATACAGAGATGTAGAGGCAGGGCTTGCTTTCAAGTTGGGTGGAAGTGGGGATAAGGTCAACAGGCAAGAGTTCAGAAGTCTGCCAGGAATGTTCATGGAAGGCTTCAAAGAGGGGCCAGGAGCATGTCAATTTAGAGTTGGGGTGTTTGAAAGGGCCCAATAGATAACTCCCTGCTTGAGATCTGTATTACTTATAAAATAAGACAAAGAAACTGGCAGTTAGAGACCATTACCTTTATCCCTGATACAGATGATACTGGGAATGTGGTTTATATCGTCCACCAAGCGGGCTTCCCAATGATGAACCCCAAAATTAAACTCACCCACCCAGCATCCTCAGACCAAGTCAGACCTTGACCATAGAGGACAAAGCCTGCCTCTGGAACATTGGGAGAGAATGGTGACTCTCTAGGAGCAGCATGAACCCAAAAAGGCAGGTTTGGACCATGTGTGTCCATGTATGTTTCTATGGTATAAATTGTGTAATGTTAATGTGTAAATGTGTAAAGTGAACTTTAAACCTTAGAGATGGTTAGTTAGCATTTGAAACACCTAATTAAGAATACACATTCCAGAGAGGTTTAAGCATTATAAATACTGTTATATAAATCTATATCCAGAGGATTTGTTAATAAATAACATTAGAAATAATTTTTCATTGGTGAAA